TTGGGGAGATAAACTGCGACCAAAAAATCGAGAATCTGATACGATTAACAGCAGGGCAGTGACATAAAACATGCTCAACCGTCTCCTCATCCTTCGCACATAGTTGGCTAGACCCAACAAGTTCAGGTGTGTTTTTAATCGGCAGTGCTCAGTAAAGACACCTATTAGAACTTTAATGCTGCTCCGAAAAAGTCCTAAAATATTCCCGGGTTTGACAGTGGCGATATTAATAAACACCCTAGCATGTCTCATTCCAGAAGAACTGGTCCACAGTAGGCGAAGTCTCTCTTCAGTCCACAGTCTAATCCTATGTTTGGCCTTCGCAAATGACACACCAACTGCTGGTTCTGCCCCCACAAACGATTTAGCACTGCTCTCTCGTGCTAGCTCATCTATCGCTTCATCCGCTAATACAACATCGACGTTGTGATGCCTGGTGGTATTTTCTCTTTTAGTATATTTAAGTCAAACCTATCAATGGCAAAAATTCCAGCGTTGCCAATTTTGCCGTTTGTCCTATCGTCTGTTGTAATGTTTATAGTTGAAGAAGCAGGCAAATAATTCTATAATATTCTAATATTATAATTCTCATCAAAAGCTCCGATTATGTTGTACACATTCCATTTTCTTTTTTCATATTCATAGGCAATGTCGATTCTTTTTCAGTTTGAGACACCTATAACAATATACATATTATTTTTTCTTCTTGTATTTCTATGTCTAATGATTATTATTGCTTTTTTTGTAGGGAAACGGAATGTCAATCAATGATGTTCTCGATACTTACCAGTTGGTTCAACAAACCCTAACCAAATCATTATGTACTTTTGGCTCAATTGCAAATTTTGCCATTTTTGACATCTTCTTGCAACAACGAATCCACATTATCTGGTTTTAACTTTTCAGCTTTGTCTTGTTTCTATTTATTTGGGGTAAAATTTAATGCTGCAGTACTTGTATTTACTCCTGTTTAAATGTTGAAATTAATATAGCTTGAATTATCCTTTTTATTTGTTTAACAAACCATAACCAAATCATTATGTACTTTTGGCTCAATTGTTAATTTTGCCATTTTTCAGATGGTACTTGTGTCAAAAAGAAAATTTACGATTTGAAAATTTGTTTATACAAGTACTATAAGATACAGCTAAAAAGGTGAAACCAGATAATGTGGATTCGTTGTTGCAAGAAGACACAAGGGCCATGTCAAAAATGGAAAAATTTGCAATTGAGAAGAAAGGAAAATTATTATATAAAAATGTCAACGTGAAACACTATCGATACCTCTGTAACATTTAGAATTCAAAAAATTCCAGTCGTTGGACTGACTCTATTGATTGTTCAACATCAAAGTTTTGCCACTTATGTCTTTGAACTAGTATTGACAAACAATAACATTTCTAACATCATAAATTTCATCATTTCTAAGTTCATAAATTTTTAAAGGTTTTGCAAAAAGTAAATTTTCCTGAATGGAATTCTCAAAAGTGTATCTAACATGCACAAGCAATATTGCAGCGTTTGCTACATCGATCGACTCGTCAATCTGGATGGCAAACTAATTCAATTTAATTCTTTTCGAAAGCTCATTCTCCACATTACTTGCCATATCATAAATTCTACGCGGTACTGTATTATTTGATAAAGAAACTGGGTCAATTTTTTTTTATGCGTTTTCTCCAAGCATATACTTTACAATATTTTTTGCGCATGGTCCAATTAAATTTTCTGCAATTGTATGTGCCTGTTCAGATTTTACAATTCTATAACTTACTCGAAATTTCTTTGAAGCTGAGAGAAAAGAAGATACAGTACTCTTTCTATAATCAGCTAATTGTCTTCTAAAATACTCGATAGGTTTATCCTTGTATGTCGGATGTTTGGTTTCAAAGTGTCTTCATTACAAATTACACAAAGCGGCTGAGGTTCTGATTCTTCCCTTAGACAGATGCCATTAGTTTGATATTAAAGGTATTACAGTTAATGATTTTTCTGGTAACAATGAACATTCAATAAAGTGCTATTTTTATATCTATACAACTTGATGAGATAGCTTGTCCAAAAATTTGAAAAAAAGTTTCTATAATCTTACAACAAAAGCAAACGTTAACTTCATAATTGCATAATTAAAAAAAAACAATTACAAATCATACACAGTTAAATTAATTGTTGGAAATGTCCGCCGTTAGCTTCAATGTCTAACACGCAGGAAAATTCCCGGAGTGTTCCGAATTATGTCGTAAGATACAACAATGCGCTGTTTTGGTCAACATTTTCAACTGGACTAGCATAGACTAGGGTTTTCAGATGGCCCCAAAAGAAAAAATCTAAACAATTAAGTTCTGGAGATCGCGGTGGCCAAGGGTGCGGACCTCCTCGACCGGTCCAACGGTCTGGGTATTTGTCGTCCAAGTATTGGCGAGCAACCAAATAAAGTGGGCCGGAGCTCCATCATGCATAAACTACATGTTTGTCTTATTTGAAGCGGTGCATCTTCCAGCAGTTCCGGCAATACTTCTTCTAGAAATTGTTGATAATCTGCACCGTTTAATCAGTTCGATAAAAAATGTGGGCCTATCAAATGATCACCGACGATGGCAGCCCAAACATGTGGATTTTCTTCTGCCCATATGTGGTTATTGTAAAAATTGAAAATACCATCCTTCGAGAAAGATGCTTCATCGGTAAACAGAACTTCGACTCCAAACTCAGGATTTTGAGCTATTTTGTCTTGCATCCATGTACAAAAAGCCAATCTTGGCGGAAAATCTCTTGGCAATAAGGCTTGTACTCTTTGGATATGGTGGGGATAGGTTTAAGTTGTGAGTAATTTTTCTGGTACTTGTGGTCGGATCTTCATCAATTTCGTTGAGGACAGCGTCTTCTGCTTGGAGATTTGCAACTTCCATAGGCCGCCCATTATCAGCAGTATTCCTTTTAAAACTTCCATTTTCCCATAGTCGTTGGTGAATGCGTAGAAACAAGTTATGGTGTGGTACTGAGCAATCAGGATGTTTTTCTTGATACAACCGCCTTGCTTCTGACGAATTAACGCACGCCATTCCGTAAAGGTAATTCGCACATTTCAGCGTTTGTGTAATTCATTTTTAATTTTGTAATACAATTTTACTTTTTGCAGGTACAAGCTAATTGTTATTTTGACAGGAGGTAGCTTTTGTTATAAAATTTAAAGCCTACTTGTTAAAAATAAATTATACAATTTTTGCACAAACGCTGAAATCTGCGAAATGCGTTACCTTCAAGGTTTGGAGAATTTTGAAAAGACAATTTTTGTATCATTTTTTCTATTTTGCAATTATGAAGTTAACGTTTGCTTTTGTTGCTTGTTCTAACTTTTACATAAATTTTAATTGTAAAATAACATTTTTATTTCAAAAGATTGACCATGTTTTTCAACATAAAAGTTAATTTTTCTAGAAAACGGTCAACTTTATAGCTCATGACCTACAGTATCTTTTTTGTGTAGAAAATATTGACGGTTCAAATGGGCGTCTCAAAACGGTACTTTTTCCAGTGGCGTAGAAGTTGGGGAGAAAAACAACCACTACGCCTTCAAAATCTTCAGCAATTATGACTTTAAAAAAGTTTTTTCTTGCTCAAAACTTAGCTTATTATGAGTAGAAAATGCTTACAAACGCTGTTTTTTGTACGATAAAAAGTTTCGGAGGTATTCGCAAAAAACGAATTTTTTTATTAATTTTCAACACCCTTTATCTCGAAAATGGTATATTTTAGAGGGTAAGTTGATAGAAACTTTTTTTCAAATTTTTGGACAAGCTATCACATCCCGAAGTCCTGCGTATATATTATAAAACACCCTGTATATTATAAAGTTGTTTAGATATAAAAACAGCAAATTTATTGAATGTCCATTGTTGCCAGAAAAATTATTAACTGTAATACCTTTAATATCAAACTAATGACATATCTCTAAGGGAAGAATCAGAACCTCAGCCGTTTTGTGTAATTTGTAATGAAGTGCTTGCTAACACCAGCTTAAAACCAACAGTTCTTCGTTGACACCTTGAAACCAAACATCCGACATACAAGGATAAACCTATCGAGTATTTTAGAAAATAATTGGCTGATTATAGAAAGAGTAGTGTATCTTCTTTTCACTCAGCTTCAAAGGGACATAGTAAAATGGCGCTTGAAGCATCATTTCGAGTAAGTTATAGAATTACAAAATCTGAACAGGTACATACAATTGCCAAAAAACAATTTTTTCAAATTTTTGGACAAGCTATCACATCCTGAAGTCCTGCGCATATATTATGAAACGCCCTGTATATCTTATAAATTGTTTTAAATCTTTTAGTTCTATTATTTTGTCAATTTTTACTTTACCACTACTTCTATAAAATTCCTCCATTATAATATCATTATTGCGAACCCTTTTGAAACAGCTCGCGAACCCTCGGGGTCTGGATCTACGAGTACTACTAATTGAATAGTTTAATTAGTTTTATATAGTTTTTTACCAGAAATTTCTACATAATCATGAACATTTTTTTTCAAAATTAAATTTTAGATATTAATAGAGATTTGATAGAATTACTAATCTAAATCCTTTCACTATAATCAAAAAAAAAATGAATTAATAAACACTTTGTTAAATTTATCATATCATTTCTTCTTATTTTTTTTATCAAATTACTATAGTTGTAGACTCAATGTTAGCGTTAGTTGGTTCAGTAAGCACAACGATATTAATTTTAATCGTGTTATCCGATCCCGTGAAGTGAAGGCGCCGGCACAGCAAGTCTAAAGAAACATTACACGGGTCCGATACAGAATTCCTCAAACAGGAAGGCGCCTGTTGGATTGGCAGACGCGCCTTTGACGCCAATCGGCCGTCGAGGCGCCTCCGACTTTACCTGTACCCAACAACTGAACACACAATTGGTCTGTCCAACCCACGTCCTGGCGCCTTTCCCCATTGGTTATCCCCACTCTATCCCGACCCTATATATCCACCACGCAAACTTCGAAAACGTTCATTCAAAGCTTACGTCGCAAGCCGACTCTTGGTATCGACGCGATATTTCTCACTAACTAGTTTCATTAAAGTGACAACACAGTTTTTTTTGTGACTAAACAAATAATTTGCGTGAAGTGATTAATAATAATTTCTTATCGTGCAAAATGAAAGCAGCCAGTGTTATGTGCCCCAAAAACAACAACAACGTGTCCTCCGGCAGGATAACGAAGCGAAAGGACATCGAAAACGAGGAGATTCAGATGTATATCAGCAAATTGAAAGACTTGGTTCCTTTCACCCCCAAGAACAGGAAGCTCACCAAATTGGAAGTTATCGAACACGCGATCGCGTACATCCTCGATTTGCAAAGTGCTCTCGAAACCCATCCAGCGGTGAACGCTTTCGATGCCGCCCAAGTGTTAAACCAGAGGAAATCCCAAGGAGCTATTAGTCCACGACAACCATTAGGAGTTCGACAAACGCCGAACACAATATTAACACCCAGCGAAGCACCTACATTACACATTACGGTAAGTTTCTTTTCTTGGGAAAAACCCGCGATGAACCGCGCTTTTAACACCTGGGCTCCCCAACACATACACATATCCTCTTCTGGCTTCGGTATGTGATATAACGGCTTTGGAACATCTGGACGTGAACACGTGCAGTGACATCTGGCTATAGCGTGATTGTCTGCACTCGTTCATTGATCAACTTCAATATAATAAACACTTTGTAGTCCCGAGGGGAGACCCACATTTAAAAAATTATTTGTTTTTAAATTCTCATAAATATATATATAGAAAGTTTCGAATTTAGGCGTCCATCTTCAGGCGCACCCGAATTATATATATATATATATATATATAAATATATATACGAATTAAAATAACAAAAAAATTAAATTTTTATCTTTTATTACAGACTCCTGAAAAATTATCACCATCAGATACGAATTCTTTAGCGTGCTGAAAAGAATATCGCCGCCTAACATCGTCACCATTCCATCATCGTCATCATTATCATCGTTAGCGGGCGTAGCGATCTCCAAACCGAAGTTAGTTTCATTTTTTTTAAGCATTTTTGTTGACTGATTACTAATTTATACAGCGTGTTTATGACGGGGGCAAAATTATGTTTTAATTTGATAAATTACGTACCTGTTTTGTGTTGCAATTATACTTCCGGTTATACAAAAAAAATAGCTATCACCGCCACAGCACCAATACTACAATAACACAATATCTACTGCTACTATTATTATTAATATTATTATTGTGACTTTTTTATTCTGTGATCTTATTTAGTGTGTTATTATATTAATTAATTGATTAGAGAGACGAGGAATAACTATATTATTATATCGAATGTACAAAAGAGAGGCAGAGTAGATTATTATATTAAAAAAAGAAGCTTGTGTACATAAAGAGCGTAAAGATACGTTAATTGTAATCATGGATGTGGCTCGTCCCCAATAATTTGTACATTTTCGGACGTGCCAAATCCATTTGGAGATGTCGTATCAAAATGCGTTGTATAGTTTTATTTTTTGTTTCTACGAATGAATGAAAATTGTAAATAGTTACCTGTGAAGAAGCAACTATGTGTTGTTGATTTTTTTTATTGCGAATTAAACGATATTTAACTTGAATAAAGTAAAATAAAAACTTACTTAATTTGTTTTCCTTCCCCCAAAAAAAAAAAACAATAACAAAATCAATAATCATTTCAAAAGAACAATATCAGGTAAGTAAAATTTAAGTACCCAAAATTAGATTCTTTTAGTTCCAAGAAACTCATTATTTAACTTTTTCCATTACATTTTTATGCCTTTACCAAGAAAAAAAAAAACAAACCAATTATAGAAGTGGGAGGTTTACACGTGAGTAACCTTGAATTAAAAAAACGCATTCTTAAAATTTTGAACGATTCTTAAAACAAAAGACCAACAAAATTCTTGATTTATGGACTCATTAATCGCGCAAAAAAAAGCAATATCGAAACGGGAAATGCGTTAATAATCACGTGTACCACATACGCAGCAAATTGTTCGAATTATAAATTTTGCATCGGTTATTTTCCAATTTGCAGCTTTATAAAATGAATTAAAAGGAATCCGCGTTAATTTATTATCACCACCACCTCGACGGACGAGGCGCGTACGGTTCTCTTTTTAATTAATCTAGTTCACTTCGCGACGACCCAATTAAACGATGGAGCCACCTGCGGTTATTTGCTGACGTCACGTTGGTCACGCTGACTGAACTACAATCGCAACTGTTTAAACCACATTTAAACACGAATACATCATAAAATGTTTTTCTGGTTTAAGATTAAAAACATATTTTTTAATCGATTTCTTTGAAACGTTTTATAGAATTTTTAATTATCTTTAATTTTTATGGTCAAAGTTGAAAAACTAAAGATTCTCAGCATATACCAAGTGTCTTATTGCTGATGTTGCAAAACATCATGTGTCCAAGAAATCTCTTGGTACTACTCATTGTAGTATATTCTTTATGACCTTAAAAAGTCTGCATTGACAAAGTCATAAACTTTATAGCAGCCCTCATGAATTATTATATCTATGAAGCCAATCTTTGAACTATATTTGAAACAGTCTGCAAAGACAGAGTCCATTGAAGAAGCAATTGAGGAAGTTATTGCACAAATCTTCGAAGATTCTTAGCCAAGGGATGTTGCCATTGTAATTAATGGCTCCATATTTTCATGTGATCTCACTTACAATGTTGACTGTGCTATTTGATGAAGAGCCCTATCGGTAAAGAAAAAAGTTAAGTGTGTTGGTCATATTTATTAACCAGACTATGATAGACTGATGACTTTTGGCTATCTTCGGATTGCTACAAACATAGATGACAAAATTCTTGTTAAAATCAATATAACCTTAGAAGAAATAAGGCTTGATTTGGGGGGTTCTCTTTAATGCTCAATATTATCAATTACAATCTTAAAAAGAAGTCAAAAATCTAGAATTATCCATCAAAGCAACGCCATCTTTATGGATTTGTATTAGGCATTATGGTATGAATATTGCTGGAGTGCTATAATCGTATACGGAGCTGTAGCCTAGTATACCAAAGCTCAATGCATTCCAGTATCCAGAAAATTTTCACAAATTCAATTAATAATTAGATTAGTAATATCTGGCGCGATAAGTACCACGATAACTCTGCCACGGGAAGTTATGGTTGACCTATCTTTTTTTTGCACATCGATAGAGTGGCTAGGAAAACTAACCATACAGAGATGCAATTCACCCAAGTCATGCCTTAATATATCCTTTATTTGGATTGCTGAAAATTCTGTCTTCAGCAATCCAAATCTAACGTCGTTCGGATCTAACGCAATCTGTACTTCCATCATGCTTACCGAGATCTAGATGTATAGGTGTTGTACTTCATAATAGAAGGACATCAGGATTTGATGTCTCGTACTCTTAGTTAAGTAGCTTACTGCCATTGAATAAAACTATTCTGGACATAGATGGCTGAAAAACTGATTAAAATTATTCTCATAAAGTCAACTCTTGTTAATACCTGTACAAAAAATATAAAATCCATTTGGAAAGTGTAAACAGCATCTAGATTTTAAATCTAATGTTAGCTAAAACGTGTATAGAAGTAAAGGGTTAAACTCTATCAGCAGTTTAGCGTGGTTGACAACAAAGAAATCTTTTTGTATACATATATTATAAATGTTTAATCAATGGAGTTTTTTTTATTCTTTGTAATGAGATCGTTATCTTCCGATAGATTGAAAGGATTTTATCTGATAGTTACAGTAGGGAAGTTACTGAAGCTTTTAATTAGAGAACAACTTAAAGAGGAAATGGAGGAAAAGGGGATGATGTATGTGGCCCAAGGTATTATTAATAACTTCAAGGAAAAAGTTCTAAAGAACCATACCAACTATATATTCATTTTCGCTCTGTAGATAGGAATCATAGAAGAATTGTGATATTCTTTAAGTAGAAAGTAGGAGATTAGCAACTATATAATGACAATAATTAAATTATATCTATCAAAAAAAGATCGTGTAAAAACCCTAATCCATGGGGAATCGCTCCTTGGTCTGATACTATGGGACATTCTTGGATGATATACTGAGAATGCAGATAGCGTATGCTCAAGAAATTCTAAATGAGGATAGAGCAAGATACAAATAAAACATTGAGGTTCGAATCTAATGGTGGACATGATTCTGTACCTTGACTCATAAGGTAGATACTCAGAAAACAGAAACCTCAGTGTTACAAGGTTACCAAAATGAATATAATCGTGAAAGGACTGCTGCTAGAAAGCATACAAATGACTATATATATCACAATGACTATAAGTAAGATACCAAACAAAGCCACAAAAATGACCAACTTTCAATGTTCAGAAATTTTCTTCTTGGTACATTTACAACTAATAAAGATATATTATCAATTACTACTAATGATGCAGAGATGATCTAGACTTTATATGTAATTACCTCCATATACCGCTAGAGGTAGTTTTGATGCAGGCCCAATAGGCAGAAGATAAAGTCCTAATGGACACTTAGCTGTGATTTGACTGTGACTACATATGATTTGATGGAAATATTTCAACTATTGTCTTGATGTAGAGATGATGAAGTCTTTCTCCGGAACTGTCTCAATGTAGACTTGGTGAAACCTAATACATCTATCAAATCATAAAGCATATTAGAGATGCCTCCTCGAGTAACATAACTGCTAACCAATTTAATAATTACTTTCTGGACTATCTTGTCTAATTCAATACAAACAACCGTAAATAGGTGTCAAATTTAATTCACAATTTTCTGACCTCAGTAATATTAAATACGGTGTGCCACAGGGTGCCCTACTTTATTTCTCATTTATATCAATGACCTACCTAATGTACTAGGTGAAGATGCTTGTATATTATATGCTGATGATACTACATTTATTAGTTGAAACTCTGTTTTGAATGCTGCTACAGTGGTACAATGTAATACATTTGAATTAGCTAAGGTTTGGTTTAATAGTAATAACCTGACCCTAAATGCAAGTAAGACTCTTAACATGGTTTTCACCTTGCGCACGGATGACCAGGTGGAACCTCTTCCTCAATGCAAGTTTCTGGGTTTATATCTGGACTCGGTTCTGACATGGGCTGAGGATGGGGTTAAGCTAGCCGGTAGACTAAGTTCTGCTGCTTATTTGCTGGGACAACCATCTGTCACTGTCTGCACTTATGCGCTGCGAAACGTATACTCCTCACTGCTACAATCTCATATCACTTATGGACTAACTTTTAGACAGCTTAGGTGTATGACGTTTCCATGTCTGTATATTCTAGAATGCATTAAATATATTACAAACAATATGGATTTACAAACGAAAAATAACCAATTACATAAATATCGAACCCGGCAACATGACCACATACGGCAAAATAGGATCCGATTGGAAAAAATGGTATAAACTATTATTGTGGCCAATTGTTTAATGTTTTACACGGCTAAGAGAGAGGGCCATCTCCAGACGTTCTTTTAAGGCGCCTAAAAAAGTTTCTAATTGATAAGGCTTACTTTGATATTGAAGAGCTTTTGGCCAATCCGCCGGGGATAGTTAGACTTGTGTTTTGTCTTTAAGTTCTGATTCTGTATTTCTCTATTTTACTTAGATTAGATTTATGTCTATATATTACATATTACGGAGACGATTGTATACCAATTGGTTTAGCATGAATGAATATTGTTATTATTATAATGCAGACATCGAAAACTTGATGCAGGCTTGAGAAAGATCAAGATGTAGTAAGGTATAATAAATAATCAAAATGGATTTGATGGATGCTTATTACATCTCTCAAGAGAAGAAACGAAACGGAGGTTTGAAAATGTGATACAGATTTAATATGAACCGTATGGAGATTTTATGCAATCTTGAAGGAGTCTTGATTCAGCCCTAGATGCAGTTTTGATATAGTTCAAATAAAGATATAAAGCAGAGTTAATGAAGTCTTGATGACTTGATAGACTTATTGGCAGAAACATTAAGATTTGGGATGACAGAAATAATTTAGCCATTTCGTTTATTTTTCAAAAATTAGAATTTAAATAACAGTTAGAGCTTAGGAAACTTTTTTATGTGGCAAAGCTTATCTATAATTTAATAAGATTTGCATTAGTTCCAATTAAAGCATCTATTTTACACATACTTGAAATATCACGTTTAGATTTTAATTCAAAATATTTTAAATTAAATTAAACAGTTAGAGCTTAGGAAACTTTTTTATGTGGCAAAGCTTATCTATGATTTAATAAGATTTGCATTAGTTCCAATTAAACCATCTATTTTACACATACTTGAAATATCACGTTTAGATTTTAATTCAAAATATTTTAAATTAAATTAAATGCAATTTAAACATTTGGGATAAATTGATTTCTCAAAATACTTTTACGAAACTTTCACCAATTATCAATTAATATATTTATATTTGAATGAAAAAAATCGTTTTAATAATTTAAAAATGATTGAAATTTATCGAAATATTTAGATTTATTTAAAATTTTTTTCGATGTTAAAAGGTTAAATATGTTTAAATCGAAATCACCTAATCTTTAAATGTCGGTTGAGTTTCTTGTGAAAGGTAGTTTGTTTAAAAGTT